TGCTCTCGCTCTCATGTACCTTTATTTAACTTTGTTTAACAATAGTAAATCAACTTTTACCCATAAAAAGGTCGTTCTAAATATCTAGGAGAAACGTTTTTTTCTTTTTACAAATTAACAAATTTTTTTGTTTATATTATCAAATAAATCGTGACAAAATTCGTAAAGTGACGACGACGGGCGGTTTTAGCTTGGTACAATGAACCCATGCATATACATATATATATATAAATATATATATATATACATATATAGACACACATCTACATATGGTGTATATATACGTATAAGTATATTTAAATATATATTTATATTATACAGATATTGCATTTCAAATTCACTTTTTTTCAAATCAAGTTCACCCTTAGGCAAATAAAATACTTCTGCAATATTTTGTTAATAAACTTTAGTACAAAATATCCAAAATCAAATGTGTAAATTTATTATTAAGAAATATAAAATTATTCGAATGTTCGTGATTTGAAAGTATCATCTAACACATTTCTGATCGTTGGAGAATATACGTTGGTAGAAAAAAAAGTAAAGTATGCTATTTTATTTGATCAACAAAGGTGAAAAGTGTTGAACTTGGAGTGCAAAACCTGTGTGCCCGAATGGACTCTTCTTCTATTTTTTTTTTCCTTCTTCTTCTTCATTTTGTCACAATATCCTAATATCAAAAAAGTATATCTCTACAAAGTAAATTTATTTATTAATTTTACGTTAATTTCCCCCGCCAATAAACGTATTTCCCTTTTTGTCATTATGTGAGACACGATGGACGGCATCTTTTAGCGAACGCCTGGAAAACGTTCTAAAATTGCTCAACGAGATTGCATTCATTAAAAATGGCTTTCGCTAACAGTGTCTTAACAACAAGAAGGACAATCGTAATAGACGAGTCGAGAATATAACTTGAGAAAAAAAGCGTGCCAAAGTTTACGAGCATACGAGCAACGGTAAAATCTATAATATAATATTTATGGTGATAAAGATGAACCATTTATTTATCGTTGGGTTTGGAAAAGAAAAAAGAAAAAAACAAAATCAAAAGAAAAATATAAACGAAAACAATTAATCGACCAATAAAGAGGACGTTGCTCGTCGTGGCAATGATGAGGAAGGATTGAAAGAAAAAGAAATAGATCATTTTATTATATTGTTTTCTCTCTAACCATAAGAGAAAAGGGTTCTGTGTGTGTGATCGGAATAAGGAAGAGTGTGACATATATATATATATATACATATTTATGTACATATATATATATGTACATAATCGAATAATTACAAAATTAACCATAAAAAAAGGAAATACAATTCCTACCGATTCTTACTACATTTTTTTTTACTTTCTTTTAACGTGACAGTTTATTAAACGGAATCATAATTATAATAATAATATAATAGTAATAAAATAATAATAATAATAATATTAATAATAATAGTAATAATAATAATAATAATAATAATAATAATAATAATAGTAATAGTAATAATAATAGTAATAGTAATAAAATAATAATAATGATAATAATAATAGAATGAAACTAAGGATAGACAGAAAAAATCACATTTAAAGCGTGGGATTTTGGGTCCCGTAAAACCCCCTCCCTTTCATGACGATCTACGAACTTCACCCCGAGCACTCACCCTTTTTGTCCGTAATAAAAAATCTTGTACGCTTCCACGGTTACGTCATAACTTTCTTTCTTTCTCTCTCTCTTTCTATCTTATAGAACCATACGTTCATTCGCACATACATACATCATATACACACTCCCACACACCCACCCATACACACACTCTCTTTCTCTCTCTCTCACACACACATACACACACATCGTACACATGAACATCCACATACGATGATTCATGAGGGACGCACACCCTCTCTCATATACACGCGAGAGAGATACGAAAGTGTAAGAAAAGCTTAAAACGACAAGTCGTGATTGCGCATTTTTCAACAGAACAAGAAGAAAAAAACAATGGCGGACGTAACGACGATAACAAAGTCCGTATAGAGTCTCTCTCTCTCTCTCTCTCTCTCTCTTGCTTTCTTTTCTTTCTTTTACCCTTTTTTTCGTTTCTTTTCTAGTTATTTTTTTTTTCTATCTTTCTTTTTTATTTTTCTATTTTTTTTTCTCTCTACCGGGGCAGGGAAAAGAGGCGCGTGCGCCACGAAAGCGAATATCTCGTTCTCTCTCTTTCACTTACTCTTTCTCTTTCTTTTCTACATACCTGGTACGTATGTACATACACGTACTTATGTACATAAAGAGTACATACTGGGTACGATTTCGTTCTCTCTCTCTTTTATTCGCTTCCGTTCTCTTTCTTCTGCTCTTTTTCTCCTATTCCAACCTCCACCCCCATCCCCCCAGCGCCTTTCCTTTCGCGCTTCCATCGAAAAAATCCTCTTTACCTTCGCATCCGACAGGATAGCCGAGCAAACCCTTTTTTTTTCTCTTTTCCTTTATTTTATTTTTCCATAAACGCACAATTTTTCATAATAATAACAATAATAATAATAATAATAGCAACAATAATAATAGTAATGATAATAGTAATAATTAAAAAAGAAAGAAAAAAGAAAAAATGAAAAAAAAAGACAATAAGTATAAACGAGAGTGGCTGATATTTAAAAAATATGTATCGCATCGCGAGTGATAAAGAGAAACAGGAAAAATATAGAGGCGCGAGAAGGGACAAATAAAAAAAGGGAAGAAATGAAATAATGATAAACAAAAGAAGGATAAAAAAAAAAAAAGAAAAAAACTAAACGCCATCGTTCTGGTGTGCCAGATGTGTGGGATGATAATTTCTGTAATTATTTTTTTTTTTCTATTTTTTCTTTTCCTTTTCCTTTTGCACATTTTTTTATTTTTTATTATTCATTAGATTCTCCGCTCGAGAATCCTGTCGATTACAGGCACACACAACAGCACATGGAATGGAAGCCGCGTGGAGGCGGATCACGAGCGCGCAGTCGATGATATTTTTTTAACAAGAAAATGACTTACGTTATGTATTACGTGTTATTTATCTTACTTCTTCTTATTTTTCTTCTCTTTCTCTCTCTCTATCTCTCTATATATATATTCCTTTTTCCATTTCTTTTTCTTTTCAATTTCTATCATACGAATATATATACTTTTGCACACACACGTATTACACACGCCTTGTAAGTATATCCTTTTTTCTTTTTCTATCTATCCTCTCTTTTACTTTCGTCTGTCCCTTTCTCATTCTCATTCTCTCTCTCTCTCTCTCTCTCTCTCTCTCTCTCTCTCTATTTCTTTCTTTCTTTCATACCTTCTTGATAACGAGAAATAAAGTCACAAAAGAGAGGGTGAAATAGTTCCATTCTTTTTTTATTATAAAAGAAAAGGGGTAAGAAAATATTTGTTTTTAGTTTTGGAAGAGACCCAAGAGAAAAAGTAAGTTCTTCGTTTGTGAATGATAAAGGCGATGACAATTCATTGCGAACGTTACAATTCGCATTTCATTTCTCAAATTCTCTCATGTAACTTTCCTTTCAATCTCTCTCTCTCTCTCTTTCTTTCATACAAAAAAGCAATTTTCTTTAATTTTTACATTTATTCACTCATTCACTCTCTCTCTCTTTCATACAAAAAAGCTATTTTCTTTAATTTTTACATTCATTCACTCATTCACTCCCTCTCTTTCTCTCCCCCTCTCTCTCTTTCTAGATAACACTCCATTCTCTTTGTTTCATTTTTATATTCATTCATTCACTCACTTACTCTCTCTTTCTCTCTTTCTTTTTCTCTCTCCTTTTGTTTTTTCTATCATTCAATCACGTTAAACAAGGTACTTAGAATATCTCGAGTAAAGTCTATATTCTTCTCTTTTTTACCTTACACACCTACCAAATATTATTCAATAACTCGATCAATTAATTAATAATTAATATATAATATTCATTTTTTATTTATTTATTTTTTTTTTATTATATATTTTATATATATACACATATATATATGTATATACATATAATATTTAATATATATGTAT